AAGAAAGCTTTTGAGGGGGTTGGAGTGATAGCACAGCAGGTAGGGCGGTTGCCTTGCACGCGGCCGACCCGGGTTCAATTCCCAGCATCCCATATGGTCCTCTGAGCACCACCAGGAATAATTCTTGAGTGCATGAGCCAGGAGTAAGCCCTGCACATTGTCGGGTATGACCCAAAAAGTGAAAAAAAAAAAAAAACTTTTGAGAATGAAATATGATCGCCTATCAGCAAAGTAACAAATACCTGAGTGATGCCTATTCTGATGATGATTATTGTTTGTTATTACTATTGTTGCTGCTTCAGTTCTAATATTATGGGAGGAACATGCAGAAGAATAAAATATGTCTAAAAAAGCTTACTTTGCAGACCAGCAACATTAAGGGATTATAAAAACATCTATCAAGTGTAAACAACATTTGATGTTACTTAATTAAATTACCTGCAATAAATAAGAGGATAAACAGACCTGGAATAGCTCCTTCTCCCCATGGTAACCACATATTTTCTTATACAATATGTTACTTTATGTCCTCAGTGTGAAGGGACCTGATTTTTAATGAGAAATGGAAAGTGAAGATACTTACTTATGATATCCTGTAAAACAAAACCTTTTGAGTGGCAATGGCCTGTTAGTTGATAACGTCAACTAACAAGAGCACTATGCTCAAAAAGCAATTTTGGAAAGATATATAACCTTCTAAAAGCTCAAAACTGAGGCTGGAGCGATAGCACAACGGGTAGGGCATTTGCCTTGCATGCTGTTGACCCGGGTTCAGTTCCCAGCATCCCTTAGAGTACCCCAAACACCACCAGGAGTAATTCCTGGGCACAGAGCCAGGAGCACCCCCTGTGAATTGCCGGGTGTGACCCAAAAGGCAAAAATAATAATAATAATAAAAGCTCAAAACTAAAAATTTATATGTTGAGCTTTAATGATAGGTGGAAAATGAAGATATTTACTAGTGGTATCCAAAAAATTGAATCTCTATGGATGACAATGGACCTCTTAATGATAACCCAACTGACAAGAACAGCACTAAGCATAATAAGCAATTTGTTAAAGATATACATCCTCCTAAAAGCTCTAAACTAAAAATATAAACTATAATGTATATAATATTATTTATATGTTAAAATGATCTAGAATGATTGCAGTCTCATTGTATAAAGAAACAGAATTTTTTAAAATTTTATTTTATTACAGCACCATGTTAGCTGCAAGGCAAACGCCCTGGAGCGATAGCACAGCGGGTAGGGCGTCTGCCTTGCACGAAGCCAACATGGCCGACCCGAGTTCGATTCCTCCGCCCCTCTCGGAGAGCCCGGCAAGCTACCGAGAGTATTCGATATGCCAGACACAGTAACAACAAAGTCTCCAATGGAGACGTTACTGGGCCCGCTCGAGCAAATCGATGATCAACGGGAGGGCCTTTACTTTACTTACTTTATTACAGCACCATAAATTACAAAGATATTCATAGTTGGGTTTTTGACTTACAATATTCCATCACTAATCCCACCACCAATATCAGCTTTCCTCCACCCATGTTCCTAGATTCTCTCTCCAAGCCCACCACCCTGACCCCAGCCTGCCATCAGGTACCTTTTAAATTTGGTTATTAAAGTTTAGATCTCGCAATTTCAGTGTTGCTGACTCTGTGGTTTGTATATTTAGTTCTATCATTCCTTAACGCAACCAAATGTACCTGGGTCCTCTTGCCCCCTACCCCCATTGCTTCTCATCTATTTCTTCCCCTCTTCTTCCCCTTTACTCTATTTCTTTCCTTCTCCTCCCTATACTCTGGGACCAAGGGTTATCTATTCCTCTCTCTCCCCTAAACCATCGCATTACCTCATCCAGATACTCTAAATACCACATATAAATGATATTATCCTGTGTTTGTCCTTTTGGTTTACTTCATTTAGTGTGATATCTTCCAGTTCCGCTCATGTTGCAGCAAATTGCATGCTTTCATTATTCCTTGCAGCTGTATAATATTCCATTGTGTGTGTGTATATATATATATATGTGTGTACATATATATATACATATATCGATAGATAGATACCACATCTTTATGATCCACTGATCTGTTCTTGGACATCTAGGTTGATTCCAAATCTTAGCTATTGTACTGAGTGCTGCAATGAATAGTGACATGCATATATCCTTTTGAATGAATGTATTTTCTGTCTTGGGCACCGATACCCAAAAGTGCAATTGCTGGGTGTATGATAACATTGGGTTTATCCTTTCAGCCTTGCTGCAGAGAACTTAGGTTTATCGGGTTACACCTATCACAGTGCTCCTGAGTCACTCCCATTCCTTTGTTTATCTGTAAACTCTTCTCTGAGCCCTCCTCCCCAACCAGTTAATCACCTTTTCCCCCCAATCAGATTCTGTTAGTTTGTAAGATCAGATCCTTCTAAGGACACTGAAGTTGTAAGTTATGTCTTTTGCACAGTTTACCTTAAAGCAATGTCCTTTCTGTATGGACACAGGAAGACAGTTAATATTATGCTTTTGTAACTTGGGAGTTGATTGACTCCGAATAATATTTACTCCTGGGCATCTGCTTTATCTACTCAGTTGCCCTTAGTTCCTACCACCCCAAAAGCAGGGTCTCGATGAGGGCCTGAATGGACCCAGGGCAAGCTGTGAGCTACCCTGACATCGAAATGGGCCAGGCCAAGCGCCATAATACTTAACTATAAGTTAAGAGCACGTTTATGGACAAACTCTGTCATGACCTAAAAGAGGTAACTGGATAAGGACACTGCTCGGGTTAGAAAAACTAACCTGACTTGAAGACTGTGGTCTGGAATCTATAGTGAGATGTCCTCAGGAAGAACCAAACTTTAAGTTTGATCTATCTCTTACTGTGCTCATACAGAATGACATTGCTAGAAATATTAGAAGTAGATTTACTACAACTATTTAAGTAGATTGCTAGCTGAGGAAAGAAGAAAGAGACACACCCTGGATTGGATCCCACGCTTTAGCAGATCTCCAAGTAATCTGTAGTAATCTCCTTAGATGAGATTTTGTCCTTGAGTTAATCTCCTGGAGGAGTGGCCTTACCCCTCTTTGTTGATTTGTTAATGTTCAACCCCACTTTTGTACTACCACCCTACACGATTGCTATATAAACTAAGACTGTAAGATTGGAGGGGGATCTGGGAGCTAGGAATGAAGGAGAGAGGAATGAAGGGCGAAAAAGAGGGGGAGGCATGATGAGTGTGTGAGACGGGAGAGATGAGAGATTGAATAAAGGGCAACTAACCATCAACCAGTTTGGTCCTAGTTCTTTCTTTGCCCATCCGGATGCCAACAGCCATCCGAGAACACACATTTTTCCGCGTGTACTTTTTACAGCTGGGCCAGAGGGTAGCTCAATTTTAAGTTTTCTGAGAACTCTCCACACTGTTTTCCATAAGGATTGAACAAACTACATTCCCATTCTCAGTGGATGAGAGTTCCTTTTTCCCCACCAACACAGATTTTTTTCTATTATTTTTGATGTTTGTCTTTCTCACTGTGTGAGATGGTACCTCACTGTCATCTTGATGTGGACTTCCCTATTATAAGTGATGGTGAACATATTTTCATGTGTCTATTAGCCATATGTTGGTCTTCCTCAGAGAAGTCCCTGTTCATTTCCTCTACCCATTTTTTGATGGGGATTTTGAGCTTTTGTTGCTGATCTTTGTGAGTATTTTTATATATCCTGGATATCAATCCTTTATCTACTGTGCTGACCACAATTATTTTCTGCCATTCAGTTATCTGTCTTTTAGTTTTAGTCCTGTTTCTTTTGCCATGCAGAAACTCTTTAATATGATTGTAGTCTCATTTATTTTTTTATTCTGTTACCTTTGCCAGTGGCATTGAATCACTGAAGACCTTTGAGGTCCAGATATTGGAGCATTCTGCGTACATTTTCCTCAGTGTATTTTATAGATGCTGGGTTGGAGCGATAGCACAGCGGTAGGGCGTTTGCACGCACGCAGCCAACATGACCAACCCGAGTTCGATTCCTCTGCCCCTCTTGGAGAGCCCGGCAAGCTACCGAGAGTATCTCGCCCGCACGGCAGAGCCTGGCAAGGTACCCATGATGTATTCGATATGCCAAACACAGTAACAACAAAGTCTCCAATGGAGACATTACTGGGCCTGCTCGAGCAAATCGATGAACAACGGGAGGACAGTGACAGTGACAGAGTGATCTGATCTCAAGGTCTTTGTTTCACTTTGAGTTGACTTCTATGTAAGGTGTGAGATCACTAAATCAAGCCAACAAAATAGATAAAAATATGGATCCAGAAACTAGGCTCTGAAAAGTCTTTTATATCTTTTAGTCTTATGTACAATAAAGTGAAACAAAATAAAACTTGATAGCTTACTAAAGTTGCTAACATTGCTGAGAAGTTGCATGACAACACAATGCGACACTAAAATTTAAAAAATTGAGACTATCAATAATAAAAAAATCAAGTTATATGTGCTAGAGGAAAGACTGAATTCTATTTTCTCTATGAATTATTCCACAACTGTCTTATGGAAAGATTGAGAGTATAGAACCCAAAAGAATTAATGTAGAAAAGTGTAATAGGAATGTGTCAGGAAATTAATTCAATAACTAACTTCTCTTTTCTGGATTTTATTATGTTTCTGCAATTATACATCTTAAAATTTTTCTGTTAAAACTGTTTATTTTAATAATGAATCTGTATTTTGAAACGTTTTTACTTAAAGGAATCCTATAAAATGCAAGTTGTAGATTTCGGAAAACTTGTATTGGCTCTGATTTCATCCCTTCCCCACTGTGTAGCAATGGTGGTGATCCTTGGTCCAGAGTAAGATCTGATTAATCTAAGCCAGTTCTCCTCCTCCTTCCTATGATTGGTCTAAGGCTGGACAGTCCTTCCTCTACTGGCTTTGAACTAGAATCACGTGGTTCCTGTTGCTGCTGGCAGATGTGAAGTCTAGAGGGAAGGCAGCCCAAGAGGTAAGCAGTATTGACAGAACCTTGAAGCTGGGAAACTGTTTGAAACATGGTTCACTGGACTGGAGAGATGGTACAGCAGGTAAGGCGCTTGTTTTGCATATGGCCCACCCTGGTTTGATCCCGGGTAGCACATATGGTTCCCAGAGCACTGAGCCAGGGTTAAACCCTGAATATTCTGCTTGTGGCCCCAAACTAAAAACTAGATAAAAAGGAAAAGTAAAGAAGTATGAAATACAGTTTAACCTATGGACATGCAGTCTATTTGTTCTCTAGTTTTTATAATAAAACCAATGCATTTATTTTTTTATTTTTGTTTGGGGACCATATCCGGTGGCACTCAGGGCTTGCTCTGGGCTCTGCATTTACGAATCACTTCTAACCTGATTCTTGGGTGGGGGGGGGGACATGGGAACTGAATCTATGTTGGCCATGAGCAAGGCAAGCGGCATACACATTCTACTGTCCTTTCAGCCCTTAAAATCAGTGCCTTTGACAGCAAAGCCTATCCTTATATATTATTTGTTTAAGATATAAGACTAATTAAAATTAGAAACATGCAGAAAAATGGTGCCCATTTTTTTTTCTTTTACAAAATTTATTTCCCTCTCTTCATTGTTGATGCAATCACAGGGCTGTATTAATGTGTCTGATTTTGGTGCTGGCTGGGGATCACATATTAGGATGTGGGATTTGCACTTGGCTGCATGGCTCATGGAAGCCTGCACACTGTTACTGCAGTGTTTGCATATAAGCTTGTAGGGGCTGGCACTCTTGGTTGAGGCACACAATTATGGTTGTGGTGCATCCTTTTCAGTTTTTGAGGTGTTCACACCTGTGTTTACCAAGGATTGCGCTTCCAATGTACAACGTTGGCACATCTTTTTTGCTGTAGCGCTTTCTTGAACATTCATGCCTTTTGCAGTGCTCACACATGACTGGCTGCAGTATAACCAGAAATTGCTTGGTCACTGGGGATCGTAGACTGAAGAGTTGCCAAGTTCAAACAGCAGAGCTGCCAAGATCATGCTCAGTGCATGTGGGACACTGGGATTTGTACTTACCACCATAGTAGCTGTAAGACAGATGCTCCAAGCCATTGCACTATTTCATCCTGGCTCTGCCTAATTTTTCCTTTAAGAATTTTCTATCTGGGCTCAAAAGGAAGCTCACTGCGTTAGAGCAGGAATCTTTAACTGCTAGTTTGTAGCCTGTTTGCAGGTGTAGAATGCTTGAAAACCTCTGTTCTACCACGATGGTTATACCAGCTAGTCTGCATAGCATAACACTATACTATAGTAAAACACATAACCGTTCTGCACGTATGAAGGTTGAAGAATGCTGCTGGGTTAGAGCATGTTTTGGATGCAGGGGACATGGTTTCAATCCCCAGTACTGCATGGTCCCTGGAGTAGCAACCGTAAAGCACCAAATTGGATTAAGTTGGGAGTTGCTCCTGCATGTGTGAAGTCTTGGGTTTACTTAATTTTATTTTTTAGGGGTTTTGTGTGTGTGTGTGTGTGTGTGTGTTTTGTGTCACACTCAGTGATGCTTAGGAGTTACTCCTGGCTCTGCACTCAGGAATTACTACTGGCGGTACTTGGGGGACCACGTGGGATGCTGGAGATCAAACCCAGGTAGGCTGCATGCAAGGCAAATACCCTACCCTCTGTACTATTGCTCCATCCCCAGTGTTGGGTTTAATTCCCAGTACTTCAGTGTCTCCTGAGCACTGCCAGGAGTGAGCTCTTATTATCCACTCAGGAATAATTTGGGTGTGGCCCAAATAAGGAAGAAAAAATTTTTTTCAACTGCATGAAAATCATTCTAATGATTGTCAGAGTCTGGAAAGCTCCCGGTGGCATATTTGATATGCCAAAAACAGTAACAGTAACAGGTCTCATTCCCCTGACCCTGAAAGACCCTCCACTATGGCACTGTTGCAAAAGACAAGTAAAGAGAAGCTGCGAAAATCTCAGGGCTGGGACAAATGGAGACGTTACTGGCACCTGCTTGAGCAAATCGATGAACAATGGGATGACAGTGATACAGTGATCCATCTATATATAATACCTTAACATTAAAATAATAAATAGCATTATTTGGAAGTTATGTGGTACTGATTAATTATAAACTGTAAGTGTATTTAAAAACTAACATATTCAATGTGAAAATATAGAAAACTAGAGCAAGAAAAAGTGAATTTATATCTACTGTGCGAAACTTTGTCATTTTGGTGTAGTTCCTCAGGCTATCATTCTGTTTTTGTTTGGAAAGAAATAATAGTGATAATTTATATACACATTTGTATACTGTTTGCTTATTCTATCTGCACAGTAATTTTCTCTGAAGTTTCCTCATATCTCAATGTTAGGGGGTCCTTTTGCCATATTAGTTTATTTGACTGATGACCGTGGGGTTGTGCGGTGAATAGGCTGTGTGGCTGTATGAGTCAGCCGTTTGTTTCTGGGGACCTAAATATTCAGGGTAACCTGGAACATCTCTGAGCCATCTATTGAAACTTAGAGTTGGCACAAAAGGTAGGACAAACCTTTTCTGGCCACCTTCCAGTCACAACATATAAATTCAGTATTTGGCTTTTATGCCTTTTTTTCCAGGTTGGTTTTGTTTGTAGCTGTGTCCCACAGCTCTCCTCTTACAAGGTTACATCTATATTTTTTTCTTCATCTGGGGATAATCTGCAGACTCCATTTGATGAAAGAGAGTCTTAAGTAAATAAACCTCACAACTTTTAATGATTGCATTTCATCCTTAATCATTTTGCATGGCTCTAGTTTGACTTCCTTCTGTCAGTTTGTTTGGATTGATTTTTTTATCTGCTCATTTTCAGGAATCTATATTGTTAATATACTTGCCCTATCTCCAACAATTGTCACTCATCTATTCTAGTTTCCTTTTTGTCAGAAAATAAAATATTGCTTGTAATCCTAGAGAAGAACCTAAATATTGGTGAAAGGGCATGTTATGTAATCATTTATAAATAGCAAAATATCATATTTCTCTCAGTGAAAGAACTAATTTGCAGGCAACTGCAGACATAATTTTATAATTTTACATGTAATTTATAAGTTTTAGACCCCTCATAGTTCTTGCAAACTCCTGTGGATGTGGATGTGGATGAATGAGGGATTACTCAGAAAAACTTGGAAGCTAGAGCGATAGCACAATGGGTAGGGCATTTGCCTTGCACGTGGCTGACCCAGGTTTGATTCCCAGCATCCCATATGGTCACCTGAACACACCGCCAGGAGTAATTTCTGAATGCAGAGCCAGGAGTAACCCCTGAGCATCGCTGAGTGTGACCCGAAAAGCAAAAAACAAACAAACAAACAAAAAAACTGCATAGTTCTCTGCTAAGATTATGAACTCAGGGCTAACAACAGACTGGGCAATAATTCATTTTTTCCCTTTCATCATAGGTTCATGAAATAGTTCAGTTTCTAATTTTCATTGTATTTATTATTATTTTTACCCCATACTAGGATAGAATAGGCAATCCCATTCAGATCCGAAGTCAATACATTTCTATCACTGTAGTTACTTTAGCAAATCTGGTTCCCTTATTAAAATCTATCTTTCTTTTGTTTTTGCCTTTGGGTCACATCTGGTGATGCTCCTGGGTCTGCACTCAGGGATCACTCCTGGTGGTGCTCAGGGGACCATATGGGATGCTGAGGAACAAACCTGGGTGAGCTGTGTGCAAGGCAAGTGCCTTTTTGGCTGAGCTTTCCCTCTGACATTTTTATTTTACAAAAGCAGGATTGAATTCTCAAATCAGGCTTTTGTAAAAGAGGCCAAACTGAGCAGTTCCTCAAAAAATGAAGTCCCTCCTTGACAAAAGGAAGAGAAGAAAAGGTAGAACTAGAACAAGGGAGATAGGTAGAGAAGGAAGATGAGGTGATAGAGGAAGGGACAAAAGATGCAGAGGGGACCACGAAGAAAAGACAGGCACGAAAAGGGTGGACCCCTCTGAAAGCTCTTTTGCTTGTACATTTGAGAGCACATTTGTGCTTTGCCCTTCTGTGTGGTTAGTGTGTTTGAAATTTTGTGGGCCAGTAAGAATTTCAGGTGAGTTTTTAGACTTCAACTACCAATGTATAAGGGCAAAAAAGAGAACTTTATGGGCTAAGCTCATGCATTGTATGCTGAAGGCCCAGTTTGATCCTTAGTACCACACAATCCTCTGAGCACCATCAGCACTGCCTGGTATTTTCTGGGTATCGAGCTCGGAGTAGCCTCTCAGCACCACTGGAAAAGAACCAATATAGAGAAATGGATCATCCAATGACAATTCTAGCATTAAATAAGATGGAGAGGAGAGGGCATGGGAAAGCCCTGCTTTCATTTCTGCAACTGACCTCCTTGCTCTGCCCACTGCCACACTCACGTATGGGGACCTTCAAGACCTACAGTGGTATCAACCAGCCCATGAGCTTCCTTCACGAACACATAGGTGTTTTTCCAAATCCAGCAGAAATCTGACTCCCTGGCCTGATCGACATTTGTGGTTAGAGTCCCAGCAGAGAAGTTGGCACTGCCGCTGGGAATTGTGAGTCACTTCTTTTGAGTTGTTCCTGATGGAGAAGCTCCTCTCTTCCGAGGAAGAAGAGCAAGCTGTCAGGTGAAATCATCAATGTCATCATCATTGTCTAAGCACTTACTTCACTGGAGACCATGTAATGTATGTGAAAAGAGTCCTTGTCAGTTTCCAGGAACATTGCTTAGACAAAGTCACTTAAGTTCCCAGAACTGTTCTTTTCCTCAAAACAAAGTTAAATAGTTCCTGAAAGAAAGTTAAAATGGAAAATGGTTCCACAGAGTTGGCACCAAAATTTAAACAATTGATGTAAATCTGTAGCACTGTAGCACTGTCCTCCCATTGTTCATCGATTTGCACAAGCGGGCACCAGTAACATCTCCATTGTGAGACTTGTTGTTATTGTTTTTGGCATATCAAATACACCATGGGGAGCTTGCCAGGTTCTGCTGTGCGATGTAGATCTACAGAGATGAAAAAAAAAAAGTATTTCAGAATATTGAGTATTACTTATGTCTTTTGTATCTGCAAAAAAGTTTGAGATACTTAAATACACCCACCAACTGCCCCCCCCACCCCCACACCTGGTAATCCCATCAAAGGCCAAGACCCAGAGACTATAAAACCCAGCTTCTGGAAGAAAACAGCACAGAGTCTCCTGCCCCTGTGCCTGGCTGTCCTCACCAGGGCCCCGTGGAGGGGGGCAGGTTGAGTTTCCCTTCCTGCAATGAGCAGAGCCCCAGCAGCCGAAGACCTCCAGAACCAGCTACAACCATGCTGAGACCACTCTCCACACGCATGAAGGTACCGGCAGAGGAACAAAGGCATGCGGGTTCCGGGACTGAGATCTCCAAGCCTGCTCTGATCGGGGCTGAGCATCCTCCACCCAGACCCTCCATCTTCCAGTAGGAGGGCGTCACACCCCCCAACTGCCCCCCAACCCATACCGTGTAATCCCATCAATGGCCAAGACCCAGAAACTATAAAACCCAGCTCCCGGAAGCAAATACATCTTATTATCTCATTCTTACTTTGGACGACCTGGAAAGCCACCGAATGTAACCTGCCCACATGGCAGAGTCTGGCAAACTCCCCGTGGTATGCCCAATATGCCAAATACCAGTAACAATGATGGCTCTCATTCTCCTAACCCTGAAAGAGCCTTGAATATGGCACTTTTTAAAATCTCAGGGCTAGGGCGAAGGAGACGTTACTGGTGCCTGCTCGAGGCAATCGATTTAAAAATGTAACAGAGAAAATAACACCCTCATAATAAAGTAGGTTGATGCAGAGCACACCTTGCATGCAGGAGGCCTGGGTTAGATCCTTGGTGCCACTGTGATCTGAGCATGCTGGAAGTGACCTCTGAGAAGTGCCACAAACAAACCAACAAACAAACAAGCAAAAAAAAAAAAAGGTAGATTATAGGGTTGGGGAAATAACTGCAAGGGCTGATTTGCATCCTTTGTAATGCTGGAGGTTCAGGTTTGATTCTCAGCACTGCATGGTCCCCCAGAGGATGTCAGCTGTGTCCCCCAAACAAACAAACAAACAAACCCAATCCCCTACACCCCAAACCAAACAAAAAACAAACCAATGTGGAAACTGGATTAAACAACTAGCAACAATGCAAACTGCTTGGGTAAAGAACTATGGCGGGGGTCACACCCACCAACTGGTCCCCTGGCGCTGTGTAATCCCATCAACGGCCAAGACTCAGAGACTATAAAAACCAGCTCCCGGAAGAGAACAGTGCAGTCTCCTGCCCCCGCGCCTGGCTGTCCTCACCGGGGCCCCTTGGAGGGGAGCGGGTTGGGCTTTCCTCCCCGCCCCGACCAGGGCTCCGGCAGCTGAAGACCTCCAGAACCAGCCACCACCATGCTGAGACCACTCTCCGCACACCTGAAGGTACCAGCAGAGAAACAAAGGCAAGCGGGTCCCGGAGCTGAGATCTCCAAGCCTACTTGGATTGGGGCTGAGCATCCTCCACCCAGATCCTCCAAATTCCAGTAGGCCGGGGTCACACCCACCAACTAGCCCCCTGGTGCCATGTAATCCCATCAACGGCCAAGACTCAGA